AATTCTACAATTGAAATATCCAGAACTGAATTAATTTTAATGATTTACTTTAACTAAAAAAAAAAAGTTTTTATTTTGAATTCCTCTTGTGGGCAGGTAAAGGGTTAGATTTATAAAAAAAAACCAAATTATAGATAAAGACATGCATCTAAATAAAAATAAAATTATACTTATTTGGTCATTTTTGATAAAGTTTAACAGTTAACAAAGTTATAAGTTTTAAACATTGTACTACAAGGAACTTTCATCAAAAACAAAAATATACNAAAAAAAAAAAGTTAATATTTTGAATCCCTCTTGTGGGCAGGTAAAGGGTTAGATTTATAAAAAAAAACCAAATGATAGATAAAGACATGCATCTAAATAAAAAAAAATAATTAAGAACAAAAAAAATTGTTTTAAATTAATACTGATTTGATATAATATTTAATATTAATTTGATTATTAATAAGTTAAAAATAAGGAAAATGACATATTTAACCTATTTTTTTAATCGTTTAAAGTTGATTGTTGTAAATGTTTATAATAAAAAATATTTATTTTACCTTTAAATTTTTTTAGCTCAATTGGTAAGTTTGACATTGACATAATTAAATAGAAAATTTTATGACAATTAAAAAAATTGTATCGTTAAGATCAATATGCAGTCAGAAAGTTTTATAATTACTATTTATTGTAAATTTATCAGAAAAGCTCAATATTTTTTTGCATTTTTATGGTAATAGATAACTTAAATAGAAGTAATAGTAATAATTTCCTAGTAACTTTTGTTGTTTGTAGAAAAGATTCTATAATTGAAATATTGAGAACTTAATTAATTTTAATGATTTACTTTAACTAAATGAACCAATCAAAACAAAGTTGTTAAAAAGATTTACTCAATTGAGTGTATTATAAAATTTGATATTTGTAAAAATCAATTGTTAATTCAAGAGAACAAACAATAATTTTTTTTAGAAATGATTTATATAGCAACATGTTACAAAAAAAATTGTAATATTATTGTCTAGTAGTAGCACACACAAATAGAGTAAAAATATTATTAAATTACAAAGTAAAATGATTTAGTTTTGTAGTTGAAACCTATTTTACAAACTTGATTCGTCAATAAATACGTTGAAAACATTAAAAATTAATGATTTTGATTGTCTGTATGGAGAACATGGGATAAGTAACTGTTTAATTGATAAATTTGAATATTTTTTTCAATTTTTGAGGGTAATATCTTCAACTAGATACGAATTGTAGTCATTTGACGTATCGTTGAAAAAAGTAGGTTTAAGTTAGAGCAGAAAAAATAAATGATAGTTATAAAAAAATATCTTCTCAGCTTTGCAATGAAGCTAAAACTTAAAATAATTTTAATATGAATAAGAAATTTCTTCTCGCGAGGGGCGACTAAAGTGATGGGATCCTTGATCTTTATTGAAGTTAATGAATCTAAATGAGATAAAAATCAAAGCAGTTGAAAATTTATTCTAACTTAAAAAGAATTAAGAAAATAATGCAAAAAATTCATTGCCATAAGCGGATTGGAACCTCGTACCCCAAGCGTGTAAAACATGAGTTTTATCAACTCGGCAACCGTACGTTGTTACCGTCGTTTTTTTTTTTTTAATTAAAGTATATTACATAAGCTTTAATTTAAGATATATATAAAAGTGTCAGTCTTTCCGGAACATTTTCAAAAGTTAAGTTGAAAAAGTTCTACTTTCTATACGCATTTTAAAAGGTTTGCACCCCCCCTGTATAAAGGGAAATGGTCCGATTTTAAAAAAAAGTATGTCGAATGAAAGAAGTATATATAAAGTATTTATCATTAAAGAATAAAGTTGATTCATGCATTTTTTAAAAAGTTATAGCAACATAATGTTAAAAAATGTAAAATATAATATCAAGAATTTTTTCACAAAAATAGCATATTTTTGCATACGGTAGCCATTTTCACCACGAAGACAAGTCCAGAGGTCAAATTTTTTTTTTTCAAATTAAAGTATATTACATAAGCTTTAATTTAAGATATATATAAAAGTGTCAGTCTTTCCGGAACATTTTCAAAAGTTAAGTTGAAAAAGTTCTACTTTCTATACGCGTTTTAAAAATTCGCACCCCCCCTGTATAAAGGGAAATGGTCCGATTTAAAAAAAAAGTGTGTCGAATGAAAGATATATATATAAAGTATTTATTATTAAAGAATAGAATTGATTCATGCATTTTTTAAAAAGTTATAGCAACATAATGTTAAAAAACCCAGCACGGTGAAGTCGCGGCATAGTTGGGTCCAGTATAGATTTAATCTGACAGTGATTAAAATCACTATCATAAGAAACGCTTCGATGCAAATCAGTAGATAGTGTTTAATTCTAAGAAATTGGTGGATAATTACAAAAGCTGCATGATCTGCTAGTTCCTTATTAATACCCTGATTAAGATAAAGTATGTCGAATGAAAAAGGGATTATTAAAAAATATTATTTCTCATAAAAAAATTGTGTTGATTCATACACTTTTCAATGAGTTATAGCATTATAAAGTTAAAAATGTAACCAACCCAACCCAACATCAACTCCTATTTCCTTAATTATATCCAGATTAGTAATTATTTTAATTATATATTATATAATTTTTATAATTAATTATTTTCAAATTATTATTGATTTTTAATATGTTAAAAGTAATCATTTTGAACCTACTTCTTTTTGTTCTTTAAAGTGAAAGTTTTAATAAAAAAAAAATGAATTTATTACCATAACTTTTAACTCAACTTGCAAGTTTGAAATAAATATTATTAAATAGAAAAAAATGAAATTGGTAGATTATTTCAAAAACAACAATAACACTTATTCCCTTAATTTTACCCCGATTTATAACTATAATATATGAATACATAATAATTACAGTAATTAAATTGAGTATGAAAGTGGTATTCAATAATATAATATTGTAATTTTTACGGAGATATTATAAAAATAAAAAGGAGTTGTATATTCATATACTTTTAATGCGTATACAAATTTAAAGGAATTTATGCAATACTTTTTAATAAAAAAATTTTGTTACTTATGAATAAATACACTAAACAAAAGGAACTTTCATCAGAAAAAAAATATACTTTTCTAAATAAACTTTTCGTGATGTTTTCAAATGTGCAATTAAACTTTTTCTATTACTTCTAAGTTTTAATATTATTACTTATTATTAAAAAATAAGTATTTACATATAAAAAAAAATAATTAAGAACAAAAAAAATTGTATTAAATTAATACTGATTTTGATTTTTAATATGTTAAAGGTAATCATTTTGAACCTATTTTTTATTGTCTTTTAAAGTGAAAGTTTTAATGAAAAATACCTTCTCAGCTTCGCATCGAAGCTAAAAAATGAATTTGTTACCATAACTTATAGTTCAACTTGCAAGTTTGAAATTGACATTATTAAATTGAAAAAAATGAAATTTTTAAGATTAATATGCAATCTGGAAATTTTATAATTACTAATTACAGTACATTTGTCAGAAAAATTCGATTTTTTTACATTTTTATCGTAATAGATAACTGAAATAGAAAGAATAGTAATCATATCCTAATAACTTTTGGTGTTTAAAAAAATTCTGCAATTGAAATATTCAGAACTTAATTAATTTTAATAATTTACTTTAATTAAATGAACCAATCAAACCAAAGTAGTTAAAAAGATTTACTCAAATGAGCGTATTATAAAAAATAATTATAATTGTAAAAATCCATCGTTAAATTCAGGTGAAACAAAAATCATTTCTTTTTTAAAATTATGATTTATAGCAACATATTACAAAAAAATTTGGCATATTATAGACTGGTAGTAGCACACAGAAATAGNCTTCAGGTGAAACTAAAAATCATTTTTTTTTTAAATTTATGATTTATATAGCAACATATTACTAAAAAATTTGGCATATTATAGACTGGTAGTAGCACACACAAATAGAGGTAAAAAATTAATAAATTATAAAGTAAAATTATTTTCTTTTGTAATTGAATAATTTTATCATATCAAATCTAATTTGACAATAAATAATTTAAGAATATTAAAAATTAATGATTTTAATTGTTTGTATGGACAAATCTAGTTAAGCTACTTTTTATTTGAATAAGGAATATTTTTTTGATTTTTAAGAGTAATAACTTAAACTAATCATTAACTTAAATATCTTAAACTTAAATGAATCATTTGACGTATCGTTGAAAAAAGTAGGTCTAGTGGGGTTGGCAAAATAAATCGTAGCCACAAAAAGAACCCACATAGTAAAATAATATTAACATGAATATCAATTTCTTCTCACGAGGGGAGACTATAGTGATAAGATCCTTTATATTTATTGAAATTATTGAATCTAAATGAGATAAATATCNTTTATTAATACGAACAAAATAACTATTCTTATAAATAATTATTGTTCAAGACAAGAAAAAAAAATATCATATTGATAAATATATCATAGATTCAATAGTAATGATATATTTATCAAATTGAACAATGAATTTATTATATAGATCGAGGTTTTTCTCTGGGTGCACATAGTAAAATAGCATTAACATGAATATAAATTTCTTCTCACGATGGGAGACTATAGTGATAAGATCCTTTATATTTATTGAAATTATTGAATCTAAATGAGATAAATATCAAATGATTTGAAAATTCTATTCTAACTCAAAAAAAAATGCAAAATGTTAATTGCCACAGAGGGATTTGAACCTCGTCGTACCCTAAGCTTGAAAGGTACAGGTGTTGCCCATTCGGCAACTATTCGTTGCTTTTCTCGCATGATAAAATTGGCTATTTAAGCTAACTCAAATTAAAAAATTACTTTTTCGACTTTAAAAAAGTAAAAAATGTTAATAAGTATAATANTTAAAAATTACTTTTTCGACTTTAAAAAATAATAAAAAATTAATAAGTTTAATTTCTGATGTCTTATAAACTGTATTCTATGTCAATGAAATTATATAATATTCATGAAAGTCAGTTTATTCCCCTAATAAGATATTTTAAAATAAAATAAAATACAAAACCTAGAATTTTAATAAAAAATAGCATATTTTTGAATACAGTAGCCATTTGCGCATAGAAGATAGGTCGTCGGGACAAATTTTTTTTTTTCATTTAGTAGTACATAAAATAAGCTTTAATTTGAT